TCTCTTTCTAGAAACTGAGGTACCATTTTCCATCAGTGATCACCTGCCCCATTATTTCCTTTTACTTCCCATTACCTATCGGACTGTTCTGACACCAAACCCTTCAGACCACCTTTTCAACATTCTTTTTCTTTTCCTTGTAAAGTTAATAAGAGGAGTCCTGGTGTGGCACTGTACAATCAGCACCGTACTACTTACTAACCACAAGGTGGGCAGCTCAAACCTACCAGCCACTCCTAGGAAAGCCTAATGCAGGGTTGCTATGAATTCCCACAGCACTTAACACCACCACAAAACCTTCTGCACTTATTCTATTCAGTACCCTTAGTTTTCCCTTCTCATTCCCATCTCTGTCCACCTCTTCCTTAATCTCCCGCCTTTACCAAGAACCCAAAACAGGCTCTTTCTTAGAGTTGACGACAATTTTCATCTTGGTGTGGTGCTGTGGGTGAATGCACTTGACTGCAAAGTTGTTTGAACTGCAAGGTGGGCGGTTCAAGCTCACCAGCTCCTCCTCAGAAACCCTATACAGGGTCACGATGGGCCGGAATCAATTTGATGGCACTTAACAACAACAGTTTTTCTTTAGAAATAGTTTAAAATCCTGCGCTTATGTTGTACCAGGTGTGTCACTTAGAAATGCCTCCATTACAATGAGTTTTGAGGAATGCTCTGGACACACTTGCCTATTCCCCAAGGTATCTAGTCTATCAAAAGGCAACGACAACTGTTGTTGTTAACGACTCACAGCAACCCTACATAGGGTTTCCAAGGCTAAAGATCTTTACAGGAGCAGAAAGCCTTATCTTTCTCCTGTGGATCCGCTGGTAGTTTCGAATTACCAACTTTGGCTTGTAACCACTACGCTACCAGAGCTCTTTACTTAATCCACTTGGCTATCATAGAAAGGAGTCCTGGTGTGGCGCTCTGGGTTAATGTGCCAGACTGCAAAGCCGTTTGAACTGCAAGGTGGGCAGTTCAAACTCATCAGCTGCTCCTCGAAAACCCTATACAGGGTCGCTATGGGTCGGAACCAACTCGACAGCACTTCACAACAACATCATAGAAAGGGGAAAATCCCAACTCGTAACCACTACGCTACCAGAGCTCCTTACTTAATCCACTCGGCTACCATAGAAAGGGGAACAAATCAAGGGTGGCAAAATACAAACAAAATTATGTCTAGAAGTCATAATGAAGCATACGCATAAATGAAACATCTCTAAAAAAAGCCAATGAAAAGATACCATTTGCAGTGTGCTTTAAGGACTACACCTAATCCTCACTTACCAACTATCTCATTATCTGACATTTCACATTTATAATAGTAAAAAATTGCTATCTATTTTGCATATTAAACTCACGTCTGGCAGTTTAAGAAGAATGCTGGCTATGATGGTCTCAGTCATCTGTCAGCTTGGCTGGTCCATAATTTTCAGCGGTTTGGCAGTTTATGTAATGGTGCAATTTGACAGTTGTCACATTGAGTATGGTAAGCTAAAGTAAACTCTCCAAGTCTTGCTTAGGTCTATTACTCACTGCCATCAAGTCGATTCTGACTGACATGTTGTTGTTGTCAGGTGCCGTTGAGTCGGAACCGACTCATAGCGACCCCATGCACAGCAGAACGAAACAATGCCCGATCCTGGGCCAACCTCAGTACCGCTGCCACACTTGATGCCATCAATGATGCCACCTGGCTGATCCATCTCATTGGGGGTCTTCCTCTTTTTCTCTGACCCTCCATCTTACCCAGCATGACATTCACATAGTGACCCTATTTTGCTGTTGTTAAGTGTTGTCGAGTCAGTTCCAACTCATAGCAACCCTGTACAGGGTTTCCGAGAAGCAGCTGGTAGGTTTGAACTGCCACTCTGCAATACGAATCAATCCTGAGGTTCAGTGTTTACTCTACAGCCCCATACCAAGATTCCAGTGACCCTATGATGATGATGGTGGTGGTGGTGGTGGTGGTGGTGGTGGTGGCGTGCCGTGGAGTTGCTTCTAAGTCATAGCAAAGGGTTTCAGATACTATAAATCTTTATGGGAGCAGAAAGCCTCTTACTTCTTCTGTGGAACGGCTGGTGTTTCAAACTGCTAACCTTGAGGTTAGCAGCCCAACTCATAACCACTATGCTACCAGAGCTCCTTAGTGACCCTAAACAGCAGAGCAAAACTGTTCTGTAAGTTTCTGAGACTGTCAATATTTATGGAAGCAGGGTACCTCATCTTTCTCAATTTTTACACCACACCCAAATTCACAAAACGACCTGGCCTTTGGAATCTAATCATGTCGGTAAGTGAGAAATGGGTATATGAAAAAATTCTCTTAGTTGAAACAATGCTGAATCTAACATCGTTGGCATCAGCAGCCACTATCAGATAACACTATGTGCCAGGCAATTTTTAAAAAATTCTTTATATATTAACACTTAGTTCTCATCGCCTGAGGCTAAAAGAATCAGGGAGAAGCCATACTTGTCTCCGGAGTCCTGGTGTGGTGCTACAGGACAATGCACTGGACTGCAACGTTAGTTTGAACCACTAGGTAGCTTCAAATTGGCAAGAGTCAATTCCCACATCAGTAAAGTGATATCATCAAGATAAAACATTATAAGCTTCAGCTGTGAAATCAGAGTGCCAGACCAGTCACATATATATTGTTGTTAAGTGCAGCCAAGTAGGTACCAACTCACAGCGACCTTGTGTAGAGTTTCCAAGGAGCGGCTAGAGAGCTTGAATCGCCAACCTTGCGATCCAGCACATTAACCCATGCCACACCACATACATATTAAGTGCCATTGAGTCAGTTCTGACCTATATGGACCCTGTATAGGTTTGCTAAAGCCCATCATAATACATGCTTCCTAAAGCGGTGTTCACACCTACTTCCTCTTCGCTGTAACCAGCACCATGCACATTTTCTTAAAAAAAAAAAAAAAAACTGAGCAGGGGAAGAGGCTTGTTTTCAATTTAATAGATCATCACACATTCATATGAATTAAGTTCACAGCACAATGATTATCCTTGAATACAATATTTACATAGGAAAGGAAAAGTGCTGTATATCTACAACTTATAACCCTAATGCAGCAACAATTAAAAGATTTATCTGAAAGCACAACTATTTCACCTAGTTAAAAAATTTTAAACTCTTCATAACAGGTTGAATGCAAAACAGTAAGGAAAATGAAGAAAAGCCCCATCCTTGTTCTAATTACCACTAAATATAACCCAGAAGTTGTACTTTTCCATTATCTTTAAAAAGAGCATTTGCCTTTTCATTGCCATGGAAATCTTAAGAACATTTTTAAGAGATATAAAACTAAAACCAATGTTAATGCACAACTATCAATTCCAGATTTTATACGCCAAACAGTTTCTTTATCTTAATTTCTAAATAAAACAGTAAGTGTAAGTCATTTTTTCCATTTTAAATTGGTTTTACAGCAAAACAGTTTACTTGAATATAAAACAGTGAAAACTACTAGTGTCTTATTAAAACACCAGTATCAGTAAATCCTTGCACCTGTAAAGAAAGACTAACCAGCAGAAACTGATCCCTAGTCTCCATAGCCTCAAAAACAAACGCTCAGAAACTATTTTTTTTTAAAGGCCTATTTCTTTAGCACACTTCTCAAATGCAAATTACATGCCACCGCAAAATTGTGTTGGCGAGTGACCTTGAAATGCAATGGCTGGAAGTGCTTAATCAGAAGGATGTTCATCTTAGTCCCTTCCACTGTCCGGAACCACAACCATAACAGCAGCCACCCTTCCAAGTTTGAACCTACTGGGGGCCTGGATGCTGTCACTGCGTCAAAGACAGGTAAACGAGTAGGAAGCAAAGACAGCCACTAACAGAAGAATGAAATGTGGCCTAAACGGAAATATTTAGCAATTAAAATGCAAAAATTAGATGTATTATAGTTAGATCCCGAAAGCTTAGAGAAAAATGAACACTGCATAAAATGATTTTACAATACACCTCTCATAGCAAATAAAAATACACTCAACAATAGCAACACGTGATATGAAAGCATAAACGTTGACCAGAAAGGATAAGCATCAGATTTTGAAATTAGTTACTTCTTGGGAGGCGGGAAAACGATGCATTCAAAGCAAACTTCAGTTTAACCTATAATGCTTACTTATTTTATTTAAATAAAAACTGCAGCAAATGAGACTGAATACAGCAGGGGAAACCCTCTCGAGCAGGACTTAACCCCTTGGGATTGGAGAACGAAGAGGGGGCCTGTCCTCCTTCACCGGAGCGGGAGCGGGAGCGGGAGCGGGGGTGGGAGAGATTCATAAAGCCACCAGACTGGACGGGGGTGCGCCGGAAGATCGACGACTCCAGTAGTGCTCACGAGGATGGGGGTGCCGGCGAAGGCCGCGCGCGGAGATCGACCGCACTTACAGATTGATGGTGCGCTCCAGGGTGAGGGGCTTGGTCTGCTGAATGTACTTATTGCCGAACTGGTTGACGCCCCGGGGCCAACCGGTCTGCGAGCGATTGGGCGGCACTACGGACATGCTGGCGAGCTCGGGCACTGGCGGCGAGCGGAAAGCGGGAGGCAGGGAAGTTTCCCCGTGCGGGCAGCGGTTATCTGCGTCCCGCTTAGAAGCCGCCACCCGCCATTAACATGAGAGCGCAAGAGGAGGCGTACGCACGCCGGAAACGCATTAGGAATCTCTGGCGGCAGGAAGTAGAGAGGCGGTGATCTGTCAGACCAAGCGCCACTGACCAATCGCTGGTGGGCTGGCCTCAAGTTCTGAAGTTCCTATTGCCCTATTGTTGTTGTTGTTAGGTGCCATCGAGACAGTACCGACCCATAGCGACCTTATGCACAGCAGAAAGAAACTGCCCTATTGGTAATGCAGAAATAAGTCCCGCCTTCTCATAATAGATTGAGCGACGCTGAGGAACATGGGAAATAGGGCATTGTGGGAATTGTAGTCTCCGCAGGAAAGGTGCTGTTTGTTGAGTTCGGCGTGGATCTATAACCCATAAGAAGATGAGTGGGAAAAGGTCTGCGGATCCTGGCCCGAGTCGGGTAGGGAAAAAGGGAAAGAAGGAAGTGATGGCGGAATTTTCGGACTGTCTCATGGAGGAAGCGTTGAAAAAACAAGTGGCTGAGACCTGGAGCCGTCAGATGCCGTTTAGTCACGGTAACTGGGTGCTTGTGAGGGAAAGAACAGGGGGCCTTTCGAACAGTCCTGGGGACTCGAGCCCACCCGAGGGCCAGTGAGGTCAGAAAGAAAAGGCTTTGGGAGAGATTGTGACTTCCTGTCTTGCTTGCTGCTCCCTTTTATTTCCAAGTTCAGCTTGAATTTAGAAACCTGAGAAGGGGAAGACATGAAGGCGAAACAGGGTTTACAAGTTCCCAGTTGAACTCTGAAATCAGAGATTACTGATAGCGTCTTCTCACTGGCCGTTGCTGGAAAACGTTGATTGAACTTTTCCTTCTACAGGGTTTTTGTTTCAGTTAAGTGCTTTAAGAGCTGGATAGGTGCTCAGGATGCATGTAGCAAGTAAATAGATTCGTTTTTAAAATGTATGATCTGCTTTGAGAAACTTGTCAGTTGGATTTGTAGAATAGGGGTAATGATTAAGTCTATCTCAGTTGTTGAGATTAAACTAGAAAATGAATAGAACGCACGGCTGTACCTGGCACTTGAGAAGTGGTGGTAGTGATGATTATTATTAATGGAGGTGCATGTATAAAATGTTGGGGGAGAAATCAAGGAATTGGTGGGTATGACTGGGGTTTTGTTTTGTTTTGTTTTGTTTTTTAAAGCATGTATCTTATAACTTCCCCCCAAAGTAACTTTTCCTCATTGCTCTGACTCGGACTCATGTTGTTGTTGTTGTTAAGTACTGTGGAGTCGGTTCCGACTCATAGTGACCCTACACAGGGTTTCCGAGGCTGTAAATCTTTATGGGAGCAGACTGCCTCATCTTCCTCCCATGGAACCGCTGGTAGTTTCAAACTGCCAACCTTGAGGTTAGCAGGCCGATTCGTAACCACTACGCTACCAGAGCTCCTTCATAGCAACCCTATATAGGGTTTCTGTGGAGTGGCTGATGGGTTTGAACCACTGACCTTCCAGTTAGTAATCCAGTGCTTATCATATAACACCACACCACAACTTCAAAAATTACTTGGGGAACAAGAAAAGTTAAGATTGCCAATCAGTATTGCTATTCTGTTTTAACTTGCTACTTACACTTTTAAGTTTGGGGAAATAAGGAATTTACTTAAAGTACATTCAGTTAATAAATCACTGTTGAACAAAACAAAACAAAATAAGTTGCAAGAACCTTGGTTTTAGTGGTGCCACATGTAGTCTCATGTTAAGAATTAAGTATAAAACCCACTGTCATAGAGTCGATTCCCACTCGTAGAGACCCTATGCAGAGTTTTTGAGACTCAACATCATTTTAGGAGCGGAGAGCTGTATTTTTCGCAGCTGGTGATTTTGGACTGCTGACCTAACACACACCCTGCAGGGCTCCTTTTACAAGGATGTTCCATCTTGGAGTGCCGAGGCAATTCTCACTCATAGTGACACTGTATTGGGTTTCCAAGGAACAGCTGGTGGGTTTGGACCGCCTCCTTGAGCTTACCAGCAGTCAAACATAACAGCAGGACTCCTTTTAAAGTACATTATCTTTTTTTAAATGTTTTATTATAAATTATGTGATAGTTTACACAGGAGAACATTAGCTTTACATTCATCCTAGCGTACATCGTTTCATTGCCATGGTTACAAACCCCTCCATGCATCATCATCCAACCAAAGGGTAAGAGGACCTCCACTCCTAGACTGCAAAGTCAATCACTCTCCTCCTTTTGCTACAAAATGTCAACCTTTACATTTCCAACCCTCACAATCAGTTCTGATAACAATTGTTCACTATTGTATCACAAGAGACCTACCCCCATCTCCTTTCATCAGCCTCACCTAGACAGATTGGATTCTACTCAGTGTAGATTCTACCTTCCTCCATGCCCTCTGGATCTAGGTTCCCTCTTGATAGTTCGTAAGCCAGTCACTTCTTGCCTTTGTAGTCCCCACTCCCCCCATTTTGGGTAGCCAATGTCCAAGTTGCCCATCCCTGTCTACTCTGTGTATGGAGCGGGTAGGAACAATCCTCGCTGTAAAGATTTATTCCCTCTTTTGAGCTACTGCATCCATACGTGTAGGTCAAGTTCATCAAATTGTATCAGATTACTCTTTTTTTTCCTCTTCTTTCTTCTTGTAGTTGAGCTCTAAAGTACATTCTTTTAAAAGGAGTCCTGGTATGTATGGCGCTGTAGGATAACCACTGGACTGCAAAGTCAGCAGTTCAAACCCACCAGCCACTCCTCAGAAACCCTATACAGATGCCCTACTCAACAGCAACAACAGTCTTTCAAAAAGAGCATTGTGTGGGTAAGGAAAAAAAGAATTGCTTGTAGATTTTAGCTTTAGATAGTAGGTTCCTCAAAATTCATGGCCATGCCTTTTGTATTCTCTCTGCAACAACACTTGGGGGCAAAATACAAAAGGGGAAAAAGCCCTAGATCATGTTTTCCTTTCAACAGAAACCATTGTCATAGATGTGGACCCCTTTCTTCACTGTGTGATCCCAAACTTCATCCAAAGCCAAGACTTCTTAGAAGGACTTCAGAGGGAACTTTTGAACTTGGACTTCCATGAAAAATATAATGACTTATATAAATTCCAGCAGGTATTTATGCCTCTCACATTGGTGTTTCCACCTCAGAAGTTCATATTCTATAAAATCATTCAATACATTTAGACTTAAGGTTTTAGGTTGTGTTTGGCAGAGAAGACTTAGCTAGAAATCAAGACTGGTTTTCGTACTCTGGAGAAAACCCAGTCTAGGAACGGATAAAGCTAATCGGTTCCCCTTTTAGGGGTTGAGGGGGATAGTTCATAGTACATGGAGTACATTACTCCTGAAATTCCTTTCTAAAACCTCAAGGACATCAGCACTTAAAGTCAGAAAAATTAAGATTACAAAGATAAAGAATTTTGTTGTTGTTCTTGTGATTTTCCTGTAAATTTCTCTTGATCTGAAATGAGAGCACATAAGGGGATTTCTCTCTTGCTCATATTCTTAATTTTATACTAGATCGGATGTTTGGCCAGCTGCTTGTCCTTTGGACCAGGCCCATATTAATGAATTAATTGAATGATGCACCTCTTATAATGCAAACAATCTAATGAAACCTTAATGTACTTTCATGTTAAAGTTACATAGGTTAATTTTAAACCACAATTGTTTGCCTTTGTAATTATATCAACTTTGGTAGCATGAGGTCTCTGATTTAGAGTTAGATGCATCTCTGATTACTTCAATTGAGAAATCAAGTTATTTGTACTTAATGCAGTTTTATAGACAAAAATACTTCTGGATGTGAATTCAGTGAGAGGAAACGTGACTAAAAGGGTGCTAGATGATTTATGTTTAAAAAGCAAGCAGACATTATTGGATTCACATTAGTGTGTGGTAAAAGTGCTCCAAAGGATTTCTGGTGTGGTTTTTTACAGTGCTCACTTTGGACTGTTTTCAATCTTGTGTTCCCTCCAACCTCATCTCTATGCCTTTTTCTTTGTCTTATGAATTGCCTTGATAGTTAAATCCCTGCCATCTTCAACCCCTCTAGTCTATTTTGTCATTAAGAATTGCCCAGTATTGTATATTTTTCTTGTAAATAAGCATTATTGAGCATATACTTTATGCTATGCTAAGTGATTTATTACTTATTAACTCATGACAGTTAACTTGTTAGTGTTAATGTGTGCCATCAAGCTGGTTTCAACTAATAGCAACCCTGTATAGGGTTTTTAATAAGAGTTGACTGGTGGGTTTGAACTGCTGACCTTATGGTTGCCAGTCCAATGCTTATCCTATAGGTCACATCAGGGCTCAACCATTAACTTAGCATTCATAATAGGAATGTTTACATTCATAGCATCTACATAACAATCTTGGGGAGGAGCTACATCACCATTTCTGTTTAATAGGTAAAAGCACTCCATCAGTTTTTCCTCCTCTTCTAGAATTATTCCCTAAAACATACAAACAAAACAAAACAAAAAACTATTCTCATAAGAAAAAAATACTCTTGACTTAATTTTCTCTTTCAGCTCCATTCCCCTTCAGATCTTGACAATAAAATGCCTTCTAAAAGTTGTCTGTACTCTCTCATACCCCTCCCTTTCTCTGTTAAAATACTTTACGAGAGTATTTTAGTTCTCTGTTAAAGTACTCTGGTCAGACGTTCTCACTTCTTCCACACCACTGAAACAACACTTTGGAAGGTCACGCAAAATCTCCATGCCGCCTTCATTTCTGACTACAATTATTGTGCACATTAACAACTTTCCCTGCTTCCGTCCTTGCCCACCTATACAGCTATTATGGGGCTTTTGTTACTGTTGTTGCTTGATTTTATTGTTGTGTTTTTAGTATAAACGGGCCCAAGATGATTGGAAATATGTTCATGAAATACCAAATACATGAATGTTCATAGTACCACGATTAATACTAGCCAAAAAGTAGAAACGACCTCAATGTCCACTGATAAAAGAATGGAGAAACAAAATGGAATATATCCACACAATGGAATATTATTCCTCCATTGAAAAGGACTGAAGTACAGATGCTGCAACAGGGATGCACCCTGAAAATAATGTTAACTGAAAGAAGCCCCAAACACCACACCGTTTATTGTGTGACTCCAGTTATTTGAAATATCCAGAATAGGCAAAATCCATAAAAGCAGAGCTTAGTGGTTGACATGAGTTGAGGGGACAGAAAAATGGGTATGAGGTTTCTTTTTTTGGGTGATAAACTGTTCTGGAGTTAGAGAATGGTGGCAGTTTTACAACCCTGTAAATATACTAAAAACACTGCTGAAGTGTATACTTTAAAAGTACTGAAAAAATAAATAAAATTCTTAAAAAGAGTTAAAGTACTGAAATTTATGTTATGTGAATTGTTACTCAAAATATAAATGGAATCATATTCTGCTCCAAATCTCCAGTGGTTTCCCATTTCTTGAAGAAAAGCCAGAGTACTTAGAATAGCTCGGAGGTCTCTACTGCTGCCTTCCCCCGCCTTCTCTCAGCTCTAGCCAATTTCCTTTTTATTTCTTTCTCCTTTTATTTTTTTAACTTTTTATTGTGAATTAAGTGAAGGTTTACAGAGCAGAGCATCAGTTTTGCGTTCAGTAAATCATGTACTTTGCTTTATTATGATTGAAATCCCCTCCATGTATCATCAGTTAACAGTGTTACCTCTATTCAGTTTAACTGCTGCATTCTTCCCTGTGTCTCCCGCTACCTTCATCTTTCCTCTGCTAACCTCAGGCTTGTTGTATATTGCCTGCTCTGTCTCTCATGTTAACTAACATGTATCTACCGACTCAACCGGCACTTAACAACAACAACCCTCTAGTCCATACTTAATTTTCCTTCCACCACATCATCATAGATTGCTTCTTTTGTGAGGCAAACCTTTTCTTAACTTTTTACAACATTGGTCTCAACAATATTTGTCCTTTTGTGATTGACTAATTTCACTCAACATAATGTTCTCTGCGTTCATCCAAGTTGTGTGGTGTTTCACAGATTCATCTTTATTCCTTAAGAGTGCATGGTTTTCCACTTTATGTATGTACCAAAGTTTGTTGAACCATTCTTCTGTTCCTGGACATTTAGATTGTCTACATATAAGGATATCATGTTTGGTAAGGTGAAGGATCAGAGAAAAAGAGAAAGACCCCCAACGAGATGGATTGACCAAGCAAGTTGCAACATCGATGGACTTAAGTGTGGCAACAGTAGTGAGGTTGGCCCAGGATCGGCCAGTGTTTCGTTCTGCTGTGTATAAGGTCACTATGAGTCGGTACCAACTCAATGGCACCTAACAACAACATGTTTTTTGTTTTTTTTCTTAATGTTTTATTGTGACTTATGTGATCGTTTACATGGGAGAACATTAGTTTTACATTCATTCTATCGTATATTGTTTCACTGCCATGGTTACAATCCCCTCCATGCATCATCAATCAACCAAAAGCCTGCCCCCTGGTCGTCAGCACACAGCCCCTCTCCCTCTCTGGATCTAAAGTTCCCAGCCGCTCCATCTCTCCACATCATTGTCTCTGCCTCCATCTCAGGCATCACTGCTTCTCTGGGTAGGGTCCCCACTCTCTGCTCTTCTCCGTTGATAGTCCCAGGGACCTCCACTCTTAGACTGAAAAGTTAATCATTCCCCTCCTTGCTACAAAACGTCTACCTTTACATTTCCAACCCTCACCATCAGTCCTGATGACAAATATTCATTCACTATTGTATCACAAGAGCCCTATCTGCATGTCATTGCATCAGCCCCGCCTAGACAGATTGGATACTACTCACTGGAGATTCTACCTTCCTCCACGCCCTCTGGATCTAGGTTCCCTCTTGAAAGCTTATAAGCCAGTCACTTCTTGCCTTTGTAGCCCCCCCATTTTGGGTAACATCTTTTTAATGTGTCTCTTATAGACCACATATTGAAGGATCCTGTTTAATTATCCATTGTGCTTTCTTTGTCTCTTGACTGGTACATTTAATTCATTTATATTCAGAATAATTATCAGTAGGTGTGAATTGATTGCTGCCATGTTGCTGTGTGTTTTTTTGTGTGTGTGATGCTGCTGGTCTCTTTGTTCCACATGGTTTTTTGCACTGAATTCATTTTGTTTATGAGTTTTCTTTCATTTTCATTTCAGTTGTGTTAATTTTTACCAAATTTTTCTGGTATTCTCTTTTATTTTTGATATGCAAGTGTATTAATAATTTTCAGGTTCAATTAAAGGTTACCCTATAATTCATTGCATTTTTTCCTAATTAAAACAGTCTGTTATATCTTGAAATCTACTTGACTTTCTTGCCATTTGTAAGTTCTATATCTGCACTATTCCCGCTTTCTGCTTTGCAGTTGACTTCATTATACATTGATGTTTCTGGTTCCCTATTTTCAGTCTTGTAAGCTTGTTTTACTTTAAATGCTTCAATATCTGGATTGGGGAGTGAGGTGGCTTCATATGATAACCAATGGACTACAAACTGCAATTTCCATGGTTTGAGCTCACCAGCCATTCCATGGGAGAAAGATGAGGCTTTCTGTATCCACAAAGATTTAAAAAGCTGGAGGAACCCTATATAGGGTTGCTATGAGTAGGAACCAACAACAAATACAACATATCTGGATTGAGTTCTGGGTGGTGGTGTTGTTATGGATGGTAATCTAAGGTTGTTGTCTAATATTGTTGGTTCTCAATCCAAAGAACACCCTTTAGTGTTATTTGCAATTTATATTCATTCGTAAAGTTGGTGTGGTCTTTTCAAATTAATTTCAGTATGTGATTCTTGGTTGGCACTTGTTTGCTTTCAGAGTTTTGTAAATGTCATCCATTGCCTTCTCACCTGCATGGTTTCTTCTGGGAAATCAGAGTTTAGTCTTATTGGCTCTCCTTTGTAGTTAACTTTTCAGTTTTGCTGAGTTGCTCCCGGACTTCTTTCCTTGTCTTTAGCTTAGGAAAGCTTGTTTATGATATGTCTTGGTGATTTGCTTTTGGGATCTATCCTGTTTGGGATTCATTCAGTTTCTTGTATGCTTATCTTCTCATCTTTCATGATGCTAGGGAAATTTTCTTCCAGCAACAACTCTTTAACAATTTTCTCTATGCTTTTTATTGTGTTTTCTTGTTCTGGCATTCCAGTCGCCTGTAAATTGTTTCTCTTCATGGTGTCCCACATAATCCTTAGGCTTTCTTCAGAATTTTTTTTTTTTTCCAATTCTTTTTTTCTTGTTTTTATAAAGTACTAATGTGACAGATTTATAAATCTTCAAACTCACCAATTTGTACTTCCATTGCTTTGAACCCACTCCTTTGCCCTTGTAATTACCCATTTCTGAAATCTTACAATTAATCTTCTGGATTTCTAATTGCAGATTTAATACTATTTCATAATTTGCATTTATTTTGTCTGTTTGTTCTTTTAGTGTTCCCTGAATTATTCTAAAGGTTTTGTGTGTGTGTGTCCTCCTTGCTTTCTTTGATCTATAATCCTTTGTAGGGATGTAAATATCATTCTTTTGAATTCTTTTTCAGTTAGCCCCATTATCTCTACTTCCTCAGAAACATTTCTGTCTCTGAATCTTGGTGAGTAATTTGAGCCATTCTCTCCCGTTTCTTCTTGTGAGCTAAAATTGCCTCCAGGGCATTGTGGGGTTGTTGTATTTGTATTTAATTGATGATTGTATGTTGATTTGTTCTTAGGCTCTCACTGACTGTCTACTCTGGGTGTAGTTAGAGAATAGTGGAAGCACACACACTGTTTTCATTCTCTCTTTTTGCACCTCAGTTCAGGGTGGGTTAAGCTGGGTTTAGCTGCAGTCTGTCGTTTATCTGTCGTTTATCAGGTGGTGTAAGAGCTGGTACTGCCTTTTGCCCAGCGGATGGAGCTACAAAGCGTAAGGTGGCTAGGCTATATGAACACAGTTGCTATTTCCTGTCAGTTGGGAAAGAGCCCCCACGCTCATGTGCGCGCACCCCCCCCACACACACACACAGAGGAAAACAAAACAATAAATAAAGGGACCAACAATGAAAAGAGAAAATAATAAAAGGGGGAAGGCAAGACAAAAGAGAGACAGGGAAGTAGAACTATTGTTGTTGTTAGGTGCCATCGAGTTGGTACTGACTCATAGTGACCCTAT